TACATTAATGCAATACATTGAAATATTGTATAGTATTCAACGCGCCCTGATTTCTTACATGAAACACAATTGTATGCACCACTACAGTGCTAACGTGTACCGTCGAGTTTATTCGCAGAATACGCGCCAATCACTTACGTGGTCTGTGATTTGGTCCCTAACCTACTCACTCCTTAATCTTGGTAAGGGCTTCATGTCACCCTCGGACGACTCACACTCGTCATTTCATATTCGGATTCCACTCCAGTGATAACTTGCACTGCGCGCGATGACATTCTATGGCCACCTCAACGTATGCCCAATCCATCTCCATTTTCTCCAACATATTTGTTGATCATCGGCTCTTGGTTGCTTTGTCGCCCGAGTTTCTCGTTGCGAATTTTTTGTCTGGCCATATGATCTCCAATATGGAGGGGTGGCGAAGGCTGCAGCTGTTGTCAAAGGTCTGTGTAACTTGTTGGAAATCTTTTTGTGACACACAGTGTAATTTTCTGACCGATAAAGAAGAAGTGAATGATTTCACATCTGCTTTGAAAATCCAAATCTTGTTCTTTATGCTGAGTGCAGAAGATTTCCAAACTAGTTGCCGATTGGTGAAGGTGTATCTTGTCTTCCTGATTCTGTCTGGTCTTGACATCTTCATCCATTCCACCAGCATGTAGCTGAAACGATGCTTCCTATAGATAGGTGAAGTAAGTAACTTCTGACAAATCTCTCGCGGTGATGTTGATTAGTGCTGTGTTATTTTGTTGATTATCTATATTTATCATCTCTTTTTTTATATCCACCTGGAGTCCAGTCTGTACTGCCAGCCTCTTTAGCCAGTTTATTGGTTTTCGCCTGCATTTCTTCGACTTTTTGTGATATTAGACATAAATCATCCACAGAATACAGATCTTCTAGAGTCTTCTTATCTGTCCAGTGTATTCCTGTCTTCTTGATCCCAGCGCATAGTCTGACGCACAATCCAGTCCACCGTAATCAGTGTTATCATTTGTCATAGTAGTGGGCCGCCTTATTTTACTCCTGTATTTACTTCGAACGCCTGTCTTAGTTTCCCGTTGTAGATCACCTGACACGTCGCACTGTCATATAGTCATCTGTTGAATCAGGTTGATAAAGACTTGGGACACTACACTGCATAGTATTTAAGCAGTTTTCAAATTTCTTTTCGTTCAACGCTGTCTGTATTGAAGACCTTTTTGAAGTCGATATAGTTAAGGTACAGGTTTTGACTGCTGTTTCATTGTGGTGAGAGCTGGCTGCTAGCCGAAATTAGTAGGTAGTAATTTACGTCAAGGTGTCCGTCCCAAATATTGTTCATGAGAAAAATTAAGAACAAAGACTGACCGAACAACCAATCACAGAAGACTTTGCGTAGGCGGGTACAATTTGCAGATAGATAATCTAAACTTTTAATAAACAGCCACTAAGAGATGAAAGACGAATGTTCAACGTGAAACCACCAATCAGAAGACAGTATTTGTTTGCTTATAATAATCTATAATAACGTGCATGAAAATACATAAATATGTGTTGATTTCTTAAATAAACGATCTGTTGCCTGGCCCTTGTCTTCTGTTGTTACACTGTAATACGACGGGTAAATTTATCTATCACTGTTACCGAAATATATTTAAAGGTGGCTTATCTTACCTACTAATATATAGGAGAAAATTTGTTTAAAATCTTATACATTTCAATGGATCACATTCCTTTTCAACTTATTGAACATAACATATGAATATACATGTATGTGTCCTTAACATATCTTGTATTCTAAGTGTTTTTCCCCTTGGAACTAATATAATCATAATAAAATGTACACTCAGAACTTTAGTTGGTCAAAATTTAAATAGCGTTTAGGCTGATTTACTCAAAAATCGATATGATTTAGGGAAACATTAGAAATTAAAAAAAAGAACTAGACAGCTATTTCGTTTTAAACAATGAATGCTGCTTTCAAATCTCAATAAGGGGGAACATCGTTGAATCGATTCTGTCTATTAAAATGATTTTTATAATGTATACTCTAAATACTAATTTGGGTGTGTAAGAAACCAGTAGACACTACTGTTTTTCAAGTGTTCGTTTAGAGGACTTTGATTGGCGACAGGCTGGATCACGAACTGATATCATTTAGAGAACTAGGAGGTATTGGAGAGCTGTTTCTCCCTGCTTTAGGACTCTTTAGTAGAACGTACCTCCCAGTAGCTGGAATGATCTACGAGCTCACCTTGTAATCGGAAGGTCCTGTGTCCGAACCCCAGTGAGTATGTATTGCTGAAGGTATGTTTATCATCTAATTAGAGCATTCCTTCCACCATATCACATAACAAACGTATATTATCTGGGTTTTTATTCGAAAATGTAATGAATTTGTGCCATGAATTTCTGACATTCTGTTCACACATTTACTTGTCAATTTGATTTACGTGGGAAACGGAAAAAAAGACTAAAGCTAATATGGAATAAAGAATATATTGAGGGATTTTTAAAGATTGGAGAAGATAATGGTTGTTTGCTCTGTCTTCCCTTATGGCTATGAGGCATGGTCATTAAAATTAGAATTTTATGAAAAGGTTAGATGTCTTTCACCACACGAACTTGTGTTCCATCTCCTGCATTAAGTGGTTTGACATGGTGAGTAATATCAAGTTTAGGTAAAAAGGGCGGGTCCGTTGATGAGGTTGGGAAGCTATATCGACTGAGATGATTGATTCGCATATTGCGTATCAGTCTGATGATTCATATACATAATTTGTTGTGCAATAGACAAGGATGTCAGTCTGGAGTCTGCATTTATGCGGGCAAGACAAATACTCTTCCCTAAAAAATATGTATCCACACTCAGATATAAATCGATAGACAATATGGAATGTGACTCATTTACTTTTGTTATGTTGAGGCTTATAATATAAAATGTTTTCAGATCCCTTCCATATATCCATAAGCTGAATTGCATGGCAAATTTCCCAGAATTTATTCCCATGTCGCTGTATGGGTTCATTCGATATAGACAGAGTCCATGGAGTAAACTATGACTTTATCTGTCTTCTAAACCAGTCGTCCATTTCTGCCGAGTGTACTTCGAAGTACTTCGAAAGCATTTATTTCCCGATACGAATTTAAATAGCCAATAAAGGTTAATAAAGCAGGATTCAATGAATTCATTAAATTCCGGTAGAACTCGTCAGCTGAATACTCTACATACACGGATATATATACTTTTGAAATTACATTGCGAGATATAAGACTGATAAGTAAACAAACTACATTGAATTAGTCATGCAGAAAGACAGGTGTGAATGTTTTCCAGGTCATGTTCAAATAGGTAAGGGGAGAGAGAGTATGAGACATCAAAATTAAGATAAATTGCATTACGCCTCAATTACATCACTTAGATAAACAATTAGTCATTACAGAACATAACAGGAATTGCAAACAGAGTAATAGCAATAGTAATAGTTTTGATAACAATAATAATAATAGTGTTGAAGTGAGTTAAGATAATCCTGCTGATAGAGGATAGTTTTAAATGAATCAAGAATAATAATAATAAGAGTATATATAAGAGAACAATAAGTAAAACGTATTACCCTGGTAGATTCAGAGTCACGACCATCTCCTTTTGTATACAGAGAGCTGGTTTATAAATTCGAATTGCACAAGCCTCTGCAATTGCGAGCATCTTCTTATTTCTCTGTCTGCTGACAATAGTGAATGACTTGACAGTGTCGATATCATGTTCATAGTCCACAAGATGTTTTGCTATTGAGGATTTCGGCACTTTGCACTCAGCTGTTTGCAACCATTTTGGCAATTGCACCATCATGCGAGTAGACAATCGCCTTTCCGTACGACCTATGTATTTGCTTCCCCAAACACACTCAAACTGATATACGCAGTTTGGCGACTGGTCTTTCCCAGATTGTTGAAGCACTCGCTTAGTGGTGTTAAGGATAACAAGTTTTGTAGCATAATAAGTTCTCTTGATAGCTTTATCGAGTCTTCGTTTGACTACTTCCTGTACATCATCTCCTTTGAACGGCAAACTGATATAGAAATATTTCTTCGGAACTGATTGGATAGTTTTGGAGGGGCTAATTTCTTTATTAGTAAACTTCTTAGGGTATCCATTCTTAGATAAAATATCCTTGAGAGCTGTTATTTCATGCTCAATGGTACTATCAGAACAAATTTCCCGTGCTCTATTTAACAGTGTTCTGACTAAGTTCTTTTCATACTGGATTGGAACAAAGCTCTTGAAATGCATGTACTGTTTGCAATTCTTGTTATGTTCTGTAATGACTAATTGTTTATCTAAGTGATGTAATTGAGGCGTAATGCAATTTATCTTAATTTTGATGTCTCATACTCTCTCTCCCCTTACCTATTTGAACATGACCTGGAAAACATTCACACCTGTCTTTCTGCATGACTAATTCAATGTAGTTTGTTTACTTATCAGTCTTATATCTCGCAATGTAATTTCAAAAGTATATATATCCGTGTATGTAGAGTATTCAGCTGACGAGTTCTACCGGAATTTAATGAATTCATTAAATTTTGCTTTCAATTGTTGGTTTGTAGGGATTTGGTTGATTAGTTACAGGATTTCAACATGAGATGACATTGGTTAGAGAACCACTGGAAAACCAACTGGGAGTACTGAACAGTTGTGTCGTCCTAGTTTGGGACTCTTCATCAGTGCCAGTAACCAGAAGGTCCTGGGTTCGAACCCTGGTGGCGGCTGCTTGCTGGTGAAGAGTCACAAAGTAAGATGAAACAGCTGTCCAGTACTTCCAGTTGGTTTTCTAATGGTTCTCTAACCAATGTCAGTTCATGATGAAATCCTGTAACAAATCCTGCTTAATTAACCTTTATTGTTTGTTTTAAAGTCATTACTTTCTCTAATTGAAACACGTATGTATAAAACTGTAACTTTTTGCTCCTTTCTTCTTCTTCTTCTTCTGTCGTTTCATTTTTCGCGTCTTCAGATAATAATCAACTTTGTCAAAGTGGTCAGCAAAACTAATTTAACCACACTATTAATGTCTTGTATATGTATTATAACTATTTGGATATTCAGACATTTTATCAATCCTAGAGTTACTGCGAAAATACGCTTTGCAATACCAATTGAATTAATTGTGGTAAGTTTATTTAAAAAAAAAACAAATATGTGTTTAACAGTTTAATTGATATGTCTTCAATTTTTATCTGAATCCTTTTTACTCTGATATTTTTTGCATGAAAACAATTTCAGTGAATAATGTAAGATTTAGCTCATGAATTTTTTACCTGGCAGTGTGATTATAGTGACTAATTTCCAAGAATTAGTTTGTAAGGATTGTAGTTGTATCAGGTTAGACCACGGATTAGTATCAGTTAGAGAACCATTAAAAAACCAGTGTTGGAGTACCGGACAGCCGTTTCATCCTGGCTTGGGATACGTCGCCAGTATGCACCCAGTGCATTTCGAACCCCGAACCTTCCAGTTACAGGGCAAGCTCGTATACCATTCAGTCACTGGGACCCGATACGAGCTTGCCTTGTAACTAGAAGGTTCGGGGTTCGAAATTCACTGGGTGCGTTCTGCCGATGAATCCCAAACCAGGATGGAACAGCTCTCCGGTACTCCAGCACTGGTTTTCAATGGTTCTCTGAATGATATCAATCCGTGGTGTAATCTGAAAGAAATACAATCCGTACGAACTAATTCTTTAAAATTATACTGATGCTCGCTAGTGGCTGCCTACATGACAAAGTTGCCTGGAGTTCTAGGAAGAAGTCGTCACCACTGGGAGTAAGAATGGAGTTTGAATGAAACAAGAACAACAGTGGTGCGTGCAGAAGGTATGCACTGCTAGCCGTCAGCGAATGGGTTCCAACTTTTCCGCAAGACAACGGGCAACCTTATTTTGGGGAGAGTTGAATATCGAAAGTATGGGTCTCAGAGGGACTTCTTTCTTCTATGTCTTGGGAAGGCCATAAATATATGGATAGGGGGAATCTCAGGGTTTCAATTCATTGTACGTGTTGTTGTCAATCAAATTATTTTTTAGAAGATTTCTGAGTACGTTTGTGATACGTTTTTCAGTTGCATTTGTCTTGTCATTCTGACTGTTGTCGATTTAAAACCTCAACGGATCATTCAGCAAAGTTTTCCTTCTTGCGATGTAGTCATCTTTATCCATCAGTACCACTCCTGAGCATTTGTCAGGTCGCAGTATGACGATTTTGTCATTATTTCTGAGAGATTTCAGTGCTTTTTGATGCTCTTTAGGAGGAATTTGGAATATAACGGCGAAATGAGGTATTGATCTGCAACGTCGACCAACTTAGATTAGAACCAGCTCTTCTTGCCCTCATCAACTGCAGTAAGGTCATTCAGCTGATAGAATAGGTTTTCGAATTGAGCTGCGACATCAGTTCTTTTGACAAAGTTATTCGGTACATGAAAGTTAAATCGGAGGGAAAGCGCTTCCATTTCAATGCGGCTTAAATTCAGCCTCGACAGATTATACACAGACTCCTCAGGATTTTCTGGGAAGACGTCATATATTTTCTCCTTCGTCAGGGATTTCGCCAGAGTTTTATAAAAATTTGCGCATGTTTTCTATTGAAGCTCTTGAATGAAATTGATGAATTTAATCCGGTATACTATATTCAAAATATTGACGACACAATCAAAGGATCGGACTTCAGTTCTCAATTTTGAAATCAGAGACTCTGTTGATTCAGTATGCAAATTTGTAATGCATCGAAGGTTTTTGAGGAGGGTGGTAATTCGCAAGTACGTAGTGACTTGATGGGATGACGGGGAAAGCAGTGGGATTGCAAGCATTCATCCTACAATTTTATTCGAGTCACTCCTCTGGATATTCTGCGACGAATTGTCACCAAACGATTCAGTGATTTGAAAGAATCTGAGGGGAGGCGATTTTTCAGAAACTTCATCAAGGGAATAAATGCATGAAGAATGGAGTTCTTGCCAGAGATATCGGTTGATGGTGACGCTAAAGCCACTAACTGGTAGAAGTTAGAACTCATGACCTAACCATTGAATCGGGTCCCTGTGGCTGTATATTAACCAAGTATACATAGATACAATTATTATTTAACTCCACATTATATAACTAAGGAGAACAAAGGTGATTGAAATTTTCCACTATGGATAAAATTTATTTTGACGAATTCATACAGTGTTATACAGTAATATTTACAGATGACAATGTTTCGAGCACAATTTATTGCTGCTCGTATCATATCAAGGCACTGCTCACTCAACTTTCATGCTTCATTTATATACATGCGTAAAGGAATTAGGATAGTATTCTAACGAAAAAAACTCACTCAAAGAGGACAAATTCGGTAGGCTAAAGGACCTGGTGAGCCCATTTTACAAAATAATTTAATTTACAAAATACCTTCAGTGCCTCATAAGATCTGGATTTTCAACTCCAATGTGAAGTCAGTGCTACTATACGGATCAGAGACCTGGAGCGTCATAACGAGCACCTCAAACAGCTTTCTTCGCTCAATACTCAGGATCAGATGGTCAGAAAAGATCAGCAACAGGGATCTCTGGGAGCGAACCAACCAGGAATCGACTGTGATACAAATAAGCAGGAAGAAATGGGGGTGGATTGACCATACTCTGAGGAAACCATCAAGTGACATCACTAGACAAGCCCTCGAGTGGAACCCGAAAGGGAAGCGGCGAGTTGGTCGTCAGTGCAAGGGTGGGGTGACTTAAAGGAGGTGATGTGAAGAGGAGATAAAAGCTTGTGGGTAGACTTGGAGCCAGATTAAAAACTCTAGGAGAAAACCGAACGCAATGGAGACGTTTGGCTGAAGCCGTATGTTTCTCTAGGAATTAAAGGAAATAATAGTAATAGTAATAATTGCAATCCCTCTGATTAAGGTCACCTAAATAGGTCAAACTAGTAGACCTGGGGTAATCAGATTATCAGAACATAAGAATTTAGAATGACTGACCCCACCCGCGAAGATAGGTAATTTAGAAAAAAACTCACCACTACATTGCACTGCATGCAATAACACAAAACCACCAAATAGGATGGAACAGAGTGAAAATTCTAAAAAGTAATCTAGGTGGGTGGAGAGTGGGAGAGATTGATTACTGAATCCCACCTGGTTCATTGAGTCTACACCGAACACATACAACAGAAGTGATTCAACACAAATATCAAAGATATGAAAGACATTACTACCAGTCAAATCAGAGGATAATAAACAATGTTGAAATGTATTAAATTCACATTATAACATTCTAACAAGTTACTTATTTTTACTATAAAAACAACTTATTTCCCATCTGATTGTATTTTATTGATAACACTAATATTATTCCTGAATTTACTTTATCATATATTGATTTTATTCAAATGTCTAGTCAGTTTTTACTCATGTGTATGAATGAAGCAAAAATGTTGTGTGAGCGGTGCTTTGATATGATTACGAGCAGCAATAATTTATGCTCGAAACGTGGTCATCAATAAATATTACTGTATAACACTGTATGACTTTGTTAAATTGAATTTTATCCATAATGGGATTCTGCCCTACGACAGTGTTCAAGTTTTATCCTTATATCGATAATAATTTTCAACTTGATATAAAAGTTCGAAGGTGTGAATATAGATTATACAAGGGCTTTAGAATCAAAATCACGCAGAATACTAATAAAGGTGTCAATGGGATGAGCATGCTAACAAATTGAAATAATAATAGTTTTTATAACTGGTTAGGACTCTCGTCGACCATGCACATGGTCCGAGGTTCGATCCCCTGCCGACGCACACCTGATATCTATGGTCGGACTGCAAAATTTGGGCTATAGATATTCATGCTGAAAATTCCACTTTTGTGCGAAAAATACAGTGTGGAATCAAGCTGTAAACAAAAATTAAAATTAAAAATTAAATTAAAATTAAATAAAAAAAAGTGAAGGGAATGAAATGTGTAGAGATTGGAATAGTTTCTTTTAAACATACAGCTCCGGCTTCCAGATGCACATGACGAGGGCTTCAGGAGTAGGTCAAAGAAGTTGGGAACATGCTGTCTTTGGAAGATTTTTGTCAACTTTTTCAATGACTCTGAATGTTGGATGAGTGAGTTGAGATGCTTTGATATGTGTTGGCTGACGGAGTGTTCAATTATGGTACTTCTGACTGAAGCAGTGCTTCCTTTCTAATCCTGTGTAATTTTGTTTCTCAACCCCTTGTAATCTTTACTCACACCTTCGAACTTCAATACCAAGTTATTATGTGGAATTAAGCATTGATTGTATCTATATAAACTTATGTATATAAATGCGATTGTACAGCTGGTTTTGAGAATAAATCTGCTGACAAGATATCTGTTTGCTGAACTTCATGTTCTTTTCTCTGTAATGTCTTGATGGGTGTTTTCCTTGATTTAAAGTAACTATAACTGGTATTTCATCACACAGTCTGAGGCTCATTTTTCCAGAGGCTCGACTTCCAATCAGTGAGTGACAAGATTCAAACCGCGTTTCACCTACTGAGGTTTTGGCAGTTAAGTGGTGGTAAGTATCACTAGCTCCCTCACACAATTCGTCTAACTTCTTGTCAACACCACGGGACTGCACCGGGTTGTCAGGCTACATTTCACTTCATCACATGATAGTATATGACTGGCAATTGTAATGACATGTTTACATTAAAATAACGCATAAAGTAAGCCTAGTTTTCGTGCAGAAAAACTCACGTCTAGGAATGTTTGTTTCCTCTCCACTCTTGACAGTATTTGATATGATTTACTTGTTAGTGTAGTTATGTGAGTTGTTTCTGTTGAGAATCATTTGCACAAATGCAAAGAACTGATTAGCATTAATTGTGACAAAAGATGACTGTGTCGGTGGCACAGAAGTAGAATGCTCGCCAGCCATTCACGTGGTTGTTCAGGGTTCTACTGCTGGCCGATGCACTCCCAAATTTCTTTTAGTTGGTAACAAGGTTAGGCGTGAGACTAGCAACTCCATATCGTAAGAATGAAACCAGTGCTACCGAAAATTCAAAGCTTTAGCTTGAAGGCCTATGTCTCACTCGGAACGCAAAGAAATAAGAAAAAGATGAGTATGCAAATGACCAAGGCGTTTTTTCAG